CGTCCTCCTCAGCACGCGGCGCGGCCCGACCCTGGAGTCGACTGCCACAGCGCGTGGTGCTTCGAGGTCCCGCCGTCTGAGCGGAAGGCGCTTCCGCCGCCGCCGGAGCCCAAGCTGGCCCCGTCACGCCGCGAGTCGCTCGACGGCCCGCTCTACGCCGACGAGCTCGCCGCGTACAACGCCGCTCGGCGACAGGAGCACGGCGGCGGCCAGGGCCACGGCGGCGGCCACGGCCGGCGCCGGGGCCAGAAACGCGGCGGCGGCGACGGCAAGCCCACGATGGTCCGGGAGTCGTACCAGATCCGCGCGAACAGCCTCGGCGCGGGGCAGGGCGAGCGGCGCGCGTCCTGGTCGTCGCCTTTAAACTCGGGCGCCTACTCGTGTATCGAGGGTCCTGAGCCACGCCTTGGCAACGGTGGCGCCTAACATATCCCGCCGGCGGGATATGTTCACATCGGCCCGGAGGGAGCGGAGGTCGGCGACGCGGGCGATGTCGAGGACGAGCTCTTACGTCGCGCTCTTGACGATGGAAAGGATCCGCCACGCCCATGGAGCCGACGATGTCCCCGTCGACCTCGAAGTAGTCGGGCCCGGAGAAGTAGGGTAGTGGCCCCGGCGAGCTTGGCGTTGCCGCCGACGGCGCGGCGCACGAGCCAGTTTCTCAACTTCAGTTGCGCGTCGCGGTGGCCGTCGTTCGTGCGCGTGCACGCAGATGACGAAGTTGCCCAAAGCGCATGCAAAAATTGAGGTCGAACTCGAAGACCTTGCCGCCGTCCGGCCCTTTGCGACGAAGGCGCCCGGGTGGCGCGCGACGTGGAGCTGGGGCACGTCCGTGAGGAAGAGGGCGCACAAACTCAGCGCGCTCGGCACCTTGACGCGGTCGCAGAGGTAGCCGCGCCGCGGGCTCGCTCCGGCAGTGCCCATCGTTCGTCGACGGCTAGGGCGGCAGGCCGCAGTGCGCGTCGCGGTCGTCGTCGGCGAGCGACGCCGCGGAGCCGCCCGGCGACGTCGCATCCGCGCACTCGTTGTCGCGGCCATCGGCGTCGGACGCGCGCGTCGTCGCGGCCGTCGTCTCGGACGTCCCGCGGGGCGCCGAGCGCCTCGAGGATCGCCGCGGACCGCGCGTTGGGCAGCGCGCCGACGATCGACGCTCCGGGTGTGAAGTCGTCGCTCGAA